ACACAACCTTGGCATAAATGAAAACCGCATCTCATTCAGTCAACTCAATGCAGCATGCAGCAGGAAGATCAAAGGGTCCTTATTACCGTAAAATGTGTGGAATAGCCACGGAGAGTTAACATCAACTTTAGTTTACAGTTCATTCGGGGCCTTGGAGTAAATTCCATTTATAATTCAATATTTCCTTTATTCCTCCCATGATACTACGAGTCTATTTAAAAAATAATAATAATAAATATATATATATATATATATATATATATATATATATATATGAAGTTTGCAAGTAATTTGCATTTGTAAATCCTTGCAGTAGTAGGTTTTGAGAGGAAATATATAAGGACTGTGGAAACAAAAATGCTGATAATTAGGAACAAGTGGAAACATATAAAGGCAAAAGTAAACATGCACATAAAAAAAAAACACACATCGAGGGTGAAAATAAAGATTAACCTTACAGTTTTTGAACCGAAATAACTTGAAAGCATGAATAACATTATTTCTGTGCGTCTATGTCAGAACTCTCTAACTCAACATGAGGGAGGGAAGCCAAAAAATGTAAAGTTTAATAAAGAAAAGTGCAAGAAAGAAAGTTTAAAGCATAATTACAAGAATTTAATGAGAAGTACAACAGAAAAGCTGCAAGACTGATCATTAAATGAACATTTGTTTTCTGCAATAAACTTTGTCTCCTTACCCTTTTGTACCCTTGTCAAATAGATCTTGAGCAACGATCTCAAAATTTTGCACACGCCTTTAGGTAAAGATCCAAGATACATAAAGATAAATGACAATATATAAAAACAATACCCGTGCCATTACAAAAGCTATATTTTCTTCCAATCAATATAGTGTCCCACATACAGTAAATCTTAGTAAATTTGGATCTCTAACAACAAGACGTTAAAGACTTTTCCACACCAGGTAAGTCAGCTTGTTGCAGAGACACCAACAAAAGTGATTATATTTTTTTCCCGATATTGCTTTACATGAGTTTTTACCACAATATTGTTTGACATTTATTATATTTTAGATTACTGACCCTGTTAATGTAGACTCGTGTTAAAACATGAATTTAAGAACACAAACAGAAATAAATGTTTACAATAAATGGCTAATAAATATGAAAGGCATAATACCATTGGTGCCCATTAAACTTAATAATACCGTTTCAGTGGAAGTTTGGGGTAAGAAAGTTTGAAATTTGCTCGTGTGTATTTGTGTGAGCAGCTTAACATTTCTAAATACTGCCGAGATGCTGACAGGCTCCGAGTTTTCAAATGCTTTTCTGTTTGTGAAGCTTGCTGAGAGTTTATCATATTATTCTTCTGTTCTTCAAAGAAGAAGTGGGCCATCAACACTGTATACACCACGCTGTGGTTAGCGAGATCTAACTGGCAGAACCATTTCTCGTCTATGTGTGTGTTGTCTGCTGTTTTTCCCCCCCCAATAACTTTGGGATGAGATCTGAGAGGAAACGGACAGATTTCCATCTGTCTGCTTCATTTGCAAAAAAAAAAAAAAAAAAAACCTTCTTATGATTCAAATATATGCTTTAGCCTTCTCTCCCTTCCCCTCCCGCCATCTTCTATTTCTCCATCTCCATCCAAGTGGCATCTGCGGATGACCAGGGCATCAAGAGTCTCGAGGGCTGACGGAGGAATAGCGGAAGCAGGAGGGAAAGAGAGAGAAGACGCGACTGAGAGGAAAAGAAAGAGGCAGCAAGCGCCTCACTTCATATTTCCCTAGCACCACCCTGGCGTGCCAGCCAGCCTGCAGTCTGTTCTCCTTTGAGCTTTCTATTCTACTACTGAACAAAAAAAAAAATCAATTCATATTTCCATAATCCACACTCCTGTCTGTCTGCCTGTCTTCGCCTCTACCCCTCCTCCTTCCGTCCTGTTCTGTCTTTCTCCCTCTTTCCGTCTCCCTCTCCCCTGGGGAAGACTAACCCCTCCACCTCAATCCTACGGCCTACAAATGTCACTATGCTGTGCTACAATAACAGCCTAAACAAAAGGAGGCCTTGCTCTGAGATCTGTGCCCCTCTGCGGAGACTGTTGGCTGCTGCTGCCATATGCTGGCCAGCTCAGGCCACAGAAGACGGAGGCTGTGGCTAGAGGACTCCAGCCCTCAGCCCCACAAAGGAGGAAAAGAGCCTTAATCCTGGTAATGAGGCCTGTGAATACAGGCTTTATGTATACGGAGGAAAGGACCAATCCCTTTGTACACAGCACGCTAACTAGCCATCTTAAGGGCCATCTTATCCACACAAACAACCTGGCTGACAACAGACTGAAAGAAAAGTAAGGTTGTGGGGGCCATGTAGATGAGATGATGATGAAGAGTGATGAAGCCCAGGTAAACACTATTTTTACACTGTTTCATCTTTTCAGCTTCAGCTGATTTCTGTATTTTTAACCACATTTTCTCCAGTATTTTCCTGTCCCTGCTTATTTAAAGGCTGTTACACCTCTCGTTCCCTCACTCCCTTTACCTCTTACTCTGGTAGCATACTCTGGTTCTTGTGGGGCAGGTAGACATCGCCTGAAGCGTCTTTATACAAGTCTGTTTATTCCTCAAAGTGGATCAGAGAGGCAGGAGAGCTGTTTAAACTTTGTAGCTACGCACTTTTTGCGTGTAGTAAGCCTACATACATAAAGTTGTTTTTTTTTCTTCTCTCTTTTACATTTATTTATTTATTTCAGTCAACTGCCTCAAGTCTTCTGTTGTCATTTATTACCTGTTGTGTACTGTGGACACTTTTCACATAACCTGCTTTGGTTTTCTGCAGGTTTAAACAATTCTTACAAGCTGGGATATTAAGAGTCACTCAACTTCAATTCAGTTCAGTTTATTTATATAGCACCAAGTCACAAGAGAAGTTATCTCAGGGCACTGTACAGAAACATTCATATACATAAAAAGCAAGTTAATAACGTTATGTATTTGAGGAGCAGACTGCTTTGAGTCTAACTTCATCACAGACTATCATCCTGAGCAAGCATAAAGGCAACAGTGGGAAGGAAAAACTCCCTCATGAGGAAGAAACCTCCAGCAGAACTAGGCTCAGGACAAGCGGCCATCTGCTTCGACCAGCTGGGTTTGACAGGGCAGGAAGGAGAAACGGATACACAATGGCAAGTCTAGGACAAAACAGTTCAAACATAAATCAGGTTCTAGTGACATTTTCAAAGTTGCCTCATCTGACAGGGAATCAGAGGCGATACTAGGAAGGATGATTTGAATTTTCTCTCTAATAGAAATAATTTTATTTATAAAGAATCTCATGAACTCATCACTGCTTATAGTTGTTGGGATACATAGTTCAACAGAGCTAGGATTTGTCTTCAGACTCGCTATGGCACTGAAAATGAACTTGGGGTTATTTTTATTCTCATCAATTAAAGAAGAATAATATGCAGTTCTAGCTTTACAGAGAGCTTTTTTATATAAGTTAGCAGGCTATATCTCCAAGATAAATAAAACTTGGTATGTTTGCATAATGTAAATGCTCACATTAATAAGGTACAAGAGATAATTTCCATCAGTTTAGATCCTAAATTGTTTTGCTTTCAAGGTGAAGTCAAAGAGAGAAAGAGAGAAAAAGGACACCCCGCTGAGTTGGTGCATTTTTCTTTGGGGAGAGAATCGGTCTTTTAAATAAAATCCCATCAACTCAAGTGTGCACACTGTCCCCTTGAGACAGCTGATAACATCTGTGACTGGCATAAAGGATAATTCAGCTTTTGGGCTTTATTTTGTATTCTAGTCCATCATTTTTATCAATGATGATTGCTTGTTATTCACAAAGTTAACTGCAGTAAAACAAGTCACACGGGGCAATGAAAGCAAGCATAAAAACAATAACTCAGCAAAAATAAATAACAGGTTGGACAATGAAAACACACAATGTGCTTTTTTTCTTACACCAACTTCAAGCGATTATCTCAGAAATTACATTAAACTATGTTTCAGCAACAATTATACCATTTACTTTGACCTAAAATCTTAATTTCACAGAAATTAAAGGAAGTAATTTAACATGAACCTAGGACTGACCCTTTGAATTAATGGAAAAATCAAGCATAAATTATTTTTGGTTATCAGTATTTGTTTTTTGTTTTTTTTAATTAACCTGCCATTTTCAAAGAAGATTATGAAGTAGTTACGAACCAACAGTGTTAGATCTGAACGTCTCTGGAGGAAACCGAGACAAACTCTTAGATGTTGCCATTACCTGAAAGATGTGAACATCCAGCCAGGTTACAGATTATTGGTCAAACATTTACCACTTGTACTTGTACAGAGGGCTACAAATGGTATTTGTATTTCATTTGATCTCTGGGTTATTTGCAACATGTGTTTGGTTATTACGCTAATGACTACAAATAATTCAACTATTCAAAAAAAAAAAGTCAAACAGACTAAACATCAATAAAAGTTTACTTATATATGTAACATAAGTAATATTTTGTATTTGTCAAAATTCTAATTAAGCGGAGACTATAAAGCAAAAACATTATCAGGCATTGTCTAACTAAAACAAATTTATAAACAGACACCTTGTACCAAAGAGTGTAAGCTTATTTTAGATGAAAACTGAATAAAATCACGTGAAACAAAAAAAGAGAAGGGTAAGACAGTAAGAGAAAGAGCCGAAAGCAGAGAAAAAGGGGGGGAAACGGAGGTGTGCATTCCTGTCACGGCTGCACAATAATTACTTATTCGTCGTTTATTGAAGACCTGCTCACTGCTTTTCATTACCAACAACAGACGTACAGTGAGACAGGGAGAGGAGGAGGCGGAGGAAGCACAGAGGAAGCACCTAAAGGAGAGTGGTGGTGGTGATAGGTGCTGGGGGAGGTTACCACAGGAAGGCAGGGTGAGTCGGGGCGTGAGGAAAAGGAAGGGAGACGGGAGAGGAGGAGGTTGTCTGTAACAGAGAACGAGTGAGAGATTTGGAGAAAGTGGAAAGAAACAGCGGAGAATGTTCCAACCTGGTCTGTGTGGTCCTGGGGGAAGCTCCACAGCACGGTTGGATCTAGAGGTAATTGACAGACAGCATTAATCAGCGGGTGAGAAACACACCGTCTTCGCTAGCTGCCTCAGATCACATACATATTAATGAGAGGGGTGGGGGCAAGGGTGGCTGCTGCCAGTCTGTGCACGCACACACGCACACACACAGAGCAGTGCACAGTGAAATACAAGCGAGAGTATCTAGGCTGTGTGTGCTGTAAATATGCAAATCTACATTCACAGTGTGGATATGATAGCTCATATTATACACCAAATCATGCACATTTAAGAAAATCACTGCAACACACACTCTAGTTTATTTGCTTAATTATTCCTACGTTGATACAAGTCTTGCTGTTTTGCTGAGAAGACGTAAATGATAAACCCAAAAAGTGACTTTTTTGAAGGGGGGATTCTGATTAACGCATTTATTAAAAGACTTGGATTTTCAATGGGTCTACAGAGCAGGTGAATCAACCGCTGGCATCGTTTGTTTGAGTGGAAACAATAAAAACAATACAAGTACGCACAAACACAGAAAGAGCATTGAAATTGGTTGTCAAAATGCTTTGAGTGTAGTTTGGCTGTTGATCAGGGAAAATAATACATATATAGAATATTTATATATTCAATATATACAGTAATGCACATGTTAAGCCAAAATGACCACATCTCTTTCTTTTGGACGTTTCTGCTGCTTCTAACTTTGTTTTTTTAAATCTTGAAAATACTGAGCCTAACTCGTACTTTAACAAAAAAAAAAAAAATCCACCTTTTTGTTCATCGGTCCATGAATTCTTCCAAACATCTACTGGTAAATCTAATTTATCCGTCTAAGCAGCCATTCATTCATCATTTTCTCCAATCTTAAAATTCATCCATTCATCTATCCGTCCACAAATTCCTCCAATCTATCTACAACTATTCATTTTTCTAAACTGTGCACTTTTCAACCAGTCATTCATGAATTACATCCATCCACCTATTCTTTTAAACTACCATCCGTCTAAACACCCATCGTTCAAACACCATCCATCCATCCATTCCTTCAAACATCCGTCCATCTTTCTAAAATCTTTATCCATCCATCTATCTGTCCACGGCGTCAAAATCATTCAGTAAAAGTTATAGATCAATAACTAACCAAAACAATGACTTGTGGTTCAATCTTCTTTTAGTGGTTTGCTCTAAAACACGGTAAATTTGTTACATTTTATAAACACAAGAAAAGGACTTGGAACAACAAATGCATCTGCGTACATTTTTCGGTGATGATAGTCTGATAAGAGCACTGAACATAATTCACAAACACAAGCTTCTATCTTATAGAGCTGAGTCAGAGGCTTGTGCCATATGGCTGAAAGCAGACAGCCACCCAGCTATGGTCTGAACACAGGGGTTATCTGGTAAACACAACTTCCACAGCTCTAAAGTCATCCTGTGACCCCGGCAGGAACAGCAAGGGTTTAAAAGAGCAGCTTTCACATGCCAAGTTCACAGGCATACACAAAGTCTGCGCATAGTACATACCCCCCACCTATGTCTAACGAAATAAGGTTAATTTAAATGTGCAATTAGCTTAATTTCGTTGTTGCAACAGAATAAACAAAAACAAATGCTGTAAACAATACAGCTGATTGAGTTCTGAATGAAAATGTGTAGAAGTTGCACTGAGCCAAAGCCGCGCGACGTCACGTCCATATTCATGAAGCCAGAGAAGAGGACTGCTCTTTTAGCAAAGGCCACATGAAATCACAAAAATGTAGTGAATATAGCTTCATGGCTAACAAGCTAGGATGTCTGCAAGAGGGAGTGGTACAGCAGACACACACGACAGAGCACAGCAGACGCCGCGATGCTTTACGTAATCCTATTGGATAATTTCACGGACCTCAAACTGAAAAGTGGTGCAGATCAGCAGAGTTCAAGGCCCGACAATCCAACTCTGACCAGCTCTCTTATTCCAACCCTACGATCCGCCACAGTTGAGACTTTATTCTGCTGATTTACTCGGTGAGAAGGTGGGAAATCTTGCTGATGATAAATCTCACCAGACCAAAGGAGAACAGGTGGTGTATAGAAACAATGAGAAAAGATGCAAGAATATGGAGGTTTGTTGTGCTCAGAGCAAGGAAAGACGTGCCTGAGTGTTAGGGAAGAGCTTCATCACTAAGAACCATCATATTCATATTCAGCTCATTCCTACCAGCTGTACCAATGTGCACAACAGTACCACAGGACATTTAGCTTGCCAGTACAGATGTGACGATTGGGACCAAATTCAAAATCAAAGTTTGACAGCAGCTGCAACAACACTGAGCCAGTACTTAAACTTACAATATCAGCTTTTATATCGCTATAAGCATTGGTGAAACACTGAACAGTTCACAGCAAAGGGTGGGTGAGAGAACATATTACTTAATTTTACAAATGGCTAGAGGTTGATTGTGTGCTCTGGTTATTTTTACTGAAAGTAGCGAGAAAATATTTAAAAATATACATATATAAGGTTTGTTGGTTGAACTTGGTGTTTGTTAGCGGCTGTAAAGCAGTCTTTCAGCTCCCACTAAACATTAAAAGGATTTTAGGGCCCATATTTTACAAGATATTGTAATGTACAATCAAATACACTGTATACATCCATCCATTATCTTTTACCCGCTTCTTCCATTTTGGGTCACGGGGGTCGCCGGTGCCCATGTCCAGCAATCACTGTGCGAGAGGCGGGGGACACCCTGGACAGGTCGCAAGTCCATCACAGGGACACATAGAGCCAATCAGACTAACATGCATGCTTTTGGTCTGTGGGAGGAAACCAGAGTACCCAGAGGAAACCCACGCATGCACGGAGAGAACATGCAAACTCCACCCAGAAAGGCCCCCAGACCGGGATTTGAACTGGGGACCTGCTCGCTGATAGGCAGCAGCTCTACCAGTTGCGCCACCGTGCTGCCCACACTGTATACATATATACAGATGTTGTTTAATTTTTTATATATATATATATATATATATGAATGTTTCTGTTAATATTTTTATATATGAATTTCTGTTCAGTGCCCTGAGATGACTTCTGTTGTGACTTGGCGCTGTATAAATAAATTGAATTGAAATTGAAATAAATACAAGCAGAAATAAATGGATTGTTATTTGTCATGCAGGAGGTGAATGTAGTATGATTTAAAGCTAAGTTAGTTTAAGATTTAAAATATATAAAAAAGTCTAATCAGCTCCCAGTGAAGCAGGCAAAGTGATGTTCTTTGTCACTAAAAGTCTGAACCTCTCACTGAATTGAGATATTTTTAATAAAAGGAGGATCAACAAGTGACAGGTTTGTATTTTACAGAATTTTTTTAGTTGGTGGTAATTTCAGACACCCAAATACAAGTCATGAAGTTCAGTAAAAACATGTCTTTATTGTATGTCCCATTTTACAAACCAACACAGTTTTTATTCCTCCTGCTGCGGATAGATAAGATCTTTTAAGTTTTAACAAAAAGCTTTTTTATTATTCATATTTGTGCAGATTCTTTCCTTTCATACTGTTTGTTCCTTCAGTTTTGTTTCACTTCCAGTCAAATGTTCTTATTTCACCCCTCATTCCTGGTCCCTGTCATCTCATCACCAACAAACCCACATACATGCTTTCTCCTGTCTTTCCTTGCAGCTTTCTGGCCTTTTCATTTTGAACCCTTGTCTACAAATTTCTCACTTTCTTATGCTGAAATACACCTCCCTCTGTATCTGCTGGGCATGTGGTGGATGCAAAAGGTAGCCTGAAGGGGGTTAAGGCTGAAAGTTGAAGGTTACAGAGGGGAAGAGGACCCCTGCTGCTCCGCCAAGGGACACAAATGTCACCGTGACAGATCCTGCATTGGTTAATCCGCCTTCCCCTCCTTCAAAAAAGCATGTGCACACTGGACACACAGAAAAAGTCTCATTAAATTTTTATTTTGGAATTTAGCAACACTTAAGTCAGCCGATAACACCGCAGTCAATGCTTGTGGTATTTTAAATTTAATTTCAAGGTGGTGCAAATGAAAAGTTCTTAATATTTTTTTCTTGACTTGAAACCCAAGCAAGCTGACAGTAAATGTGAATTTGATTGGTATGCAATATGCAGAATAATGTAGTATTTTAATACCACAGCAGAGAAAGCCATGTCGTCTCCGTAAGTAGGTCTAGGGAAAAAAAATAATCAGTATTGGTTATCGGCCAAACAAGTTCACATATCGGCCAAAAATCCAATATTGTGCATCCCTATGATTTATACACGAGCTGCTCAAGAAGTCATAAAACATAAAACAAAAGGTAGCAGCGAGCATGTTGAGGACATAAATAGACATGCAGAAAACAGAAATGTAAGCCAATGCCAATTTAGATTTCATCTGCAAAATAAGCAGGACTTTGCTTAAAGACACTAGCATTAATTGACATTATTTAAAAAAAAATAACAATTCAGCTCTTCCCCACTTCCTGATATTCGTTTGTGCACAAATATGTCACAAAAACTGAGGCTTACTTGCATAACAAATAGATTTGCTGAAGAAAAAAAAACTTCTACCTCTCCTTCACATGCCTCCATCAAAGCCATAAATGCGACTGACTATGTTTTTATTGTATTTTCTACAGTTGGCAAAATCTATAAAGCGCTTTTGCAAGCAGCATAAAAACAGTTCATTTTGTGTGACACCAGCGGCAGCTAGACTGACAGCATGAAAACAACCTATAGCATACTTCACCCCGGTGGAGCGTAAACAGATCCAATGGGTGAGAATTGAATTGAAATCACCTATTGAGAGTTAAGATTCCTCCATTTACACCAAAGAAAATGGAGGTGGAAAAATGTCACAAAAAGCTCAAGAAGTGACCGCTGGACTCTGCTTGCAGTGTGCACGTGCGCCTCTGTGAAAATGTGTACAGCATGAGTAGATGCGTGTTTACAGATGGATAGCAAGCTCAGGAGTGAGTATTTACAGTACACTGTGTGTCCATTGATCCCTGAGGGCTTTCAGCATGGCT